CTTTGGAAATCTTTATTGATCATTCAGGTAACCCTATTGCAAAATCTGCATAGATAGATGTTTAAATTTCTGATATGCTAAACTAAAAAACCCAAGAAGCCCACCCTTTTTTTAAACTAAAAAAAAAAATGAAATCTTTTGCCTTCATATATCACAAAACCCCCAAATACCTTGCAAGTCTGCTTTCTTCGACACCCTTTGCTTGTCACCTTTAAGCAAAATATCTGATGGTTTTATATTGTGGTCTGGTAACTATGATGAGACTGAAATCCAGTGGGCCAAATTAATCTTTGGTGTAAATTGCCTGAATCCATCTGCATTATACCAGGGATTAATTCTATACATTTTGTACTTGTGGTCTACTGCTAAGCTAGAACTTAACTAGCCATAAAAAGTTAACGTAACAACCACTCACTCTAAAATATTATTAGTTTCATTTGGCCAAATTTGTGTTCATGATTTTCACTTCCAGGAGTGAGACCACGAGTAAATGTGGCGCTCTTTTAGCTAACCTTACACTGTTAAAAAACTTCAGGGGTAGCTGAGTTAGTCTGTACAGGATAAACTTAAAAAAACCCAAATACTCTGGTAGCACTTTAAAGGCTACCAAAAAATTAGCTAAACTTCACTATCCAATAAGGGACTGAATAAGCCCAGTGTTTTATAGTGATAGTTACATGAAATGAGCCACACTTTCTCCAGTCTGAAATGAATTGGGATAACAGAAGGGTATCCAGGAAGAAACCTACCAGCATTCAAACTATTTCCCTAAAGGCACAAGTACAAGATACTAGATCAGTGGTCCCCAACCTTTAGAGGCTCCTGTGCGCCTGGGGGCGGGGCCACTCATGCGCCGGGCAATATTTACCACATAGGCATTGCTGGAGCAAGTCACACTATCCACTCCTGGCCTCTCTGATATGCCCCCAAACCTCACTGCAGTGTGCCTGAACATCACCATGGAGTCCACACCTGCCTAGTACACGGTGCCAAGACTTTACCACTGCAGCTTACAGGGAAGGATCCAGTAAGTAGAGTTCAGCATCCCATCCTCACCAATGCCCAAATGTACCCTACTGATATAGCTCCTCCTCTGAAATACCCATATGTGTGAGCCACTGATCCTTTGTTTTACCACCCCTCCTTAATGTCATCACCACCAGTAGTAGCATGGCCTTCGACCATATGGGGTGCCAAATTCTGGCTCACGCAATGTCTTGTCTGACCTAAAGCCTAAGCCTGAACATTATTACAACCCTATTCTATCAAACAAAGGGGAACAGGATCAGCTCAATAGCCATTATGCATAATCCCTTCTCCTGAGTTTCCTAATAGGAATTCTTTGGCTTGACATCCAAAAAATCTGTGGTGTCCCATTAGGCATGGAGCAGCAGAAGAACTGTGATTCAAAGGAAAGGGGGTAGGAACCCAGCGGTTCCATCCACAGGGCTATAAAGTCTAATGTCAGCTTTGGGTGGCAGCCAAAATGGCAAAGGTTCAAGAACAGACTTTACCTCCCAAAGGGCCCTGGTTCAGTTGTCATTGACAGACAATGGAGTTAATAGGGCACAGGCAGTGAGAAAGGGGTAACGTGAACCCATGTGTCATGTCCCGCACAATGCGCCCACCTGCTGATGCAGGATTTCCTGAAGAGCCACAGAAGCAGCAAATCTTCATCTGGCAGAGACGTGCACCTGCATGTCTGTGAGTTACTCACTGAACGGCCCATAAACCTCTCAAGGGAACAGCAATAAAAAAAATCAGAGAGTCAGATCTTTGTATATTCCAGAAAGCCCTGTGAGGGACCAAGCAAACCATCCGTAACTTAGTCCACAAGGATTTGCTCATTGCGCACTGAACAACTGAAGGTGACATCTGTGTTGTCAATGAGCCCTGAAGGTAAATGAGCATGAGGTCAACATTAGTTTTAAACTGCAGTTGTGCTCCCCCCCAAATCTAGAGTAATTCTATCAAGTCTAGGCCCAAAAGAATGTTCTCGCAGCCAGCCGTGAGGTAATCCAGGCCATGCAGCCCCATATCAAGCCTACCATCAAGAAACCAAGCCCAAGTGTTATTCACAGGAAATAGCCTTGCACAACAAATAAGTGTGATAAGAAGCTTGCAATCTCTTTATGGAAAATCAGCGAAGGGAGAAAGTGGAAAGATTGTTAAAGTATAAATGAATCACTAAGTTACATACATAATTAGGGTCCTGCCAAATTCACAGTCCATTTTGGTTAATTTCTTGGACATAGGTTTTTAAAAAAGAATACATTTAATGTTTTCTGCATTTTATCATTATGTTGTAATTGTAGAGATCCTGACCCAAAAAGGAGTCGGGGGGAGGGAGGAGTCGCAAGGTTATTGTAGGGGCAGTTGTGGTACTGCTATCCTTACTTCTGCGCTGCTGCAGCTGGGATGCTGCCTTCAGAGCCGGACAGCTAGAGAGAGGCGGTTGCTAGCCAGGATCCCAGGTCTGAAAACAGCTGCCGCTATCAGCAGCACAAAAGTAAGGATGGCAAAGCTTGGTACTGCCACTCTTACTTCTGGGCTGCTGCTTGCGGAGTGTTGCCTTCAGAGCTGGGTCCCCAGCTAATAGACATTGCTCTGTAGCTGCCCAGATCTGAAGGCAGAACAGATGTAAGGTTGGCAATACTGTGACCCCCCAAAATAACTTCATAATCTGTTCACAATTACCTTTCGGTTCAGGACCCTCAGTTGAGAAACACTGCTTTCTCCCATGCAATCTGGGCACACAAAATTCCAGATTTCATGGGGGAAGACCAGATTGCATGGCCTGTAATGTGTTTTTCATGGTCATGAGTTTACTAGGTCCCTCAATATAATGTATGTTGATAGATATCATGTATGTTGATAAACTAGAATAAATGATGGATTCTCTGTAACTTGAAGTCTTTAAACCATGATTTGAGGACCTCAGTAACTCAGCCAGAGGTTGGGGTCTATTACAGGAGTGGGTGGGTGAGAGTCTGTTGCCTGAGGTGTGCAAGAGGTCAGACTAGATGATCACTATGAGTCCTTCTGGCCTTTAAGTCTATGAGACTCCTTAGCAAAGCTGAGTGAATCATGGACGTTACAGTCGGCTGATGAATACAATTTATTTTGGGTCAAATTAAAGCCAAAATTTTCAAAAATTTCAGCAAATCACTAACAGGAAAATGTAATTTTAGGCTGAACACATTTTGTACAATCTGGAACATTTTGTTTAATTGTGAAATTTAAACTTTTTTAAATTTTTGAAATAAATTAAAGGAATTTTCAAAATAAAAAGTCATTTCAAATCAAAATTTGTTTTTGCTTCAAAAGTGTTGAAATTAAATGTTTCACCTTGTTTTGACTGGAAGAATTCGACACTCAGGGTAGGTCTACACTGCAAGGCTATTTCAGGATACCAGAGGTATCCCGAAATAGCTACTCTGTGTCTTTTGAATGCGTCCGCTATTGCAAAATATAGTTGATGCACTATTTCGGCATCCCTGAAAACTTTGTTCCACGAGGGATAAGGGATGTCTCAAAATAGTGTGCTATTTTGAAATTTGGTGCCGTGTAGATGTGCCGAATTTCAAAATAACCTTTTAAAATAGAATCGAAATAAGATGCACTATTTGTGTAGCACAAATTGCATATTTTATTTCGAGCTAAGGGTGCAGTGTAGACACACCCTCAGTTGCTAAACAGGTCAGTGTCATCAAACTTGCATTTTTGGTTGAAAAAAATCTTTCTGTCAAAGAAACTCAGCTTTGCTCTTTAGCACATGGGCTCTTCCATTTGCACATATGGTCAAGTTTCTTCAGTCTTGAATTTATTGAGACTGAAGTGATTCAGACCTGAATGATGCTCAAAGAGTTGGGAAAACAGGTGCAAGAGAAATCGCTGTACATAGACAGTCACAAAAATACAGAGCTCAGGAATGACTCTCTCATTGGCTTAATGTTTTTGGACCATATTCTGATGCTCTTACATGGAGAAGCTCCTGACTCTATGTGTAGTCCTATTGACTCCAGTAAGCCACTCGTCAGACTAAGCAACAGGCCTTGATTTGAGGGGAGTGGCAATGCAGAGATATTTTGTATCACTGACCCCTTAAGTAATCCCCTGCACAAGTGCATAGACCAGCTTGCAATTGAGCGCTAATTGTGTTTTTGGTGGACCTATGTGAATTGAACTTTTTAAAGCTTAGATCCTCACACTGAAAACCAACTCCAGTGAACAAATGAAATCCAGCTGTATGGGAATGAAGACTCAACCATACACTTATTTCTGCAAAGCAGGGTGAGCCACAGACATAGGAGAGGAGTCAAAAATTTGCACTAGCTGCACTAACACTGCACCTGTTCCGTGAAACGTTGACTTGCAGTAGCCAATGTAGTTAACCTATCACCTTTCATGAGCCATTTTGATTTCACTTTTTAAAGCCAACCATTATTTGCCATTAGCTGCCATTATTTTTTTCTTTCAGTAAACCATTTGGTTACAGCTGACCCTGCAGAGTTTTTCCTCTAGTGCTCAGAAATAGTTATCCAGCCTGCAGAGGGAGCATGTAATAATAATGAACACATTAAACTTCAGAGGTGTGAACAAAGGCATAAGGGACAGAATCAGGGCCATGATTCCTTGTTTCCAAGGAGCTACATTAAAAAGTTAAATATTTGGCATGAGAGAAAAGACAAAGCTGGAAGGGAAGCAAGAAACACCATTTTAAAGCATTGAAAAGGGGAATGGAAAAAGCTGCAGAGACTTCCCTCTTTGCTCCCCTCCCCCAACTTCCCCTCAAAATGAAGTGCCACAGAAACACACAATTGTCTTTTCAGAAGGGAATGTGAGGGCTCAGTCTTGTAAGCTTGAATCTGTGAGGGAATAATCAGTGAAGCTCCACCTCCTAGGGACCTGGCTGTCAATGTTCTGTTCTCACGCCAAATTCCTGGACTATAAAACTGTGACGATAAGCCGAGGCAAAAAGCATTTCCCTGGAAGGATTTTTAAGTTATCTCTTTATAGGTGTGATGGGGGGGAAAAGGGGAGGGCCACTATGGATCTTCTGCCTAATTTGGAGTTATTGTGAGGGCAAAACCCCAGTGCAGATAGGTAAGAAAAATCTAAATTCTGAAGTTGTTGGCTTAGGTATTTACCTCCATTAAGTTACAAATACAAATGTCAAATTAAAATATACTTGGTTAGACTGAAATCTATGTGCATGCTGTAAATAGATTAGCCCTTTGTCTGTACACTCCAAATGAACCTGCTTTAAGGAATTCATTGTTTTTCTTTGCATTAAAGAGCAATTCATCAACCATTCCAAGATTAGTTGTTTAAAGAACATGTTTGCTGGACTCAGTTTATATTACAGAAAATGGCAATGTCCTTTTTAATTTTTTGACTTACACATAGTCCCTAGGAGAAATATGTCTGCATAAAGTCTGTTAGAGTTAATTGCCTGACATCCACACACTCGTAGAAGTATTATTTTTCCTTACTGCACTATTACCTTCTAATTCCTGGTTTGGAATGTCTTATAGCTTCCTGAGTTCATTTATTACACAAACAGTTGATTGCGAATTCATGTGATGACTGCTGAAGTGTTAGCATTTCTAGCAACTCCAAACCAATAAATGAGTAAAACCTGACTATCAGTCTTACCGTCGCATGCAGAAAGGTGCTATTTCATTCCACTGTACTCTTGTGTTACAAACACCTACTACAAACTGTAAAAACATGTTGGCACCTCAGTTTATTTTACAGGTGCATCTTATCTAAAATAAATTTTCCATCCACCCCTGCTGATTCCTAGTTATGCATATTACAAAACATTTCAGAGTTCGTAGAGTATGTTAAGTACTGATTTTGATTTGATCTGTGATGTATATTGCTAAATTAATATCACTGAAAGCTATCCCATCAGCACATCAGGGAAATCTTTCCATTTTCTCCTGCTAGTCGCTGAAAGCATATTGCAGCAAAGTGTAAAGTCCATTGAAGGAGAATTACATTTGTTTTCTTCAACTTCACAGTTTGAGCATTTCTGGGATGTAATTTAATACACAAAGAAAGTTTTGATGTGTAACTTCGCATATACAATTGAAAATTCAGGGAGTTCAGTCCTTAGTGGTCAAGGAAGCAAAGGTTTCTCTAAGCATCACATATTGGCTGGATAAGGGCCATGGTTCTGGCTAAGTTTTTGAGGTGGGATTGAGTTGTACTAGAAGTTGGTAGTCTCTTTAGGATAGAGAAGTTCTTCAAAGAGATGAGTCAGTATTAGACTCCCTCCTGAATTTGAGTAAATTGTGAAATGCAGAGTCATTTAGAAAAGTTTGTAGTGACAACTGGCATTTCTAAGTCTACCACTGGTGGCAGCCATCTTGCTAAAAAGTGATGTTGTCACACATGCCCAATAGAAGAGACTGCAAACCAGTTTCCAGCCTACTTTAAGATAGTTTAAGGGGAAGTTTACACAGGTACCAAGACACCTTAAATACCTAAATCCAACTGAAAGCCAATGAGAGTTGGATGCCAAAGCACCGTGGACGTCTGAAAATCTCCCTTTAAGTCTTTAAAGTGCCACTTCAATGGCAGACGCTAGGCACTGATTGCAATACCCACCAATAACATTTCCACCTTCACTCTTTCTACAGTCCAGCGCCCGGCAGTCACCAGAAATGAATGCTCCACTTGGGGCAAATTCCACTTCCAGACATTTGACCACGTTAAATTCGATTTTCCCGGCATCTGCCAATACGTTTTTGCCTCGCACTGCAACGACAGCTATCAGGACTTCAACATCCAGGTCAGGCGACGCGACAAGAGTGGCTTTCCAGTCTGCTTCACTGCGACCATTGACGGCGTGCTTCTAGAGGTGAAAGAGTCAGGCATCACAGTGAATGGGAATGAGTGAGTAAATATTTATTGTTCTTGCTGAACTCCACTGTTTGTTCTACCTTTTAAGTATAGTCTTGTATGTCAGCAGTGCATCCATGGGCCTTCTCGACTTGGAAGATTCATCAAAGGCAGGAGGAAGACACAAATTGCCCCAGATTGCGTAACGTTCCTATATACCAGTGAGCGGGGTTCCAACCTGCGCCCAGTTGATAGATCAGCTTGTGCCACAAAGGATGAGGATTGACTGTGCTTGTACTGTAGCTCGCATCCTGATTAGTGCACAATAAAGCCCTTCAGATTGAAAGCGCTCAGAAAATTATACAGGGACAGATTCTCTGAGGTGCTGAACTATTTCTGTGAGAGCATTTCAGCTGCCATTGACACTGAGGCTACGTCTACACTGGCATGATTTTCTGGAAATGCTTTTAACGGAAAAGTTTTCCATTTTTGGAAAAGTGCGTCTAGATTGGCAGGACACTTTTCCACAAAAGCACTTTTTGCGGAAAAGCATCTGTGGCCAATCTAGACGCGCTTTTCCACAAAAAATCCCCGATCGCCATTTTCGCGATCGGGGCTTTTTTGCAGAAAAAAAACTCTGCTGTCTACACTGGCCCTTTTGCGCAAAAGTTTTTCGGAAAAAGACTTTTGCCCGAATGGGAGCAGCATAGTATTTCCGCAAAAGCACTGACAATCTTACATGAGATCGTAAGTGCTTTTGCGGAAATTCAAGCAGCCACTGTAGGCAGCTGGCAAGTTTTTCCGCAAAAGCAGCTGATTTTGCAGAAAATTTTGCCGGTCTAGACACAGCCTGAGAGAAGATGAGGCACTCAGAGCCTGGCAGGTGTGCCAGAGAAGTCATAGACAGTTAAGACCAGAGACCCATGTAGTGATCTATTTTGATTTTCTATCTAACACATACTCCTTTACATCCAGTGATTCCTGCATTGTAGGGACAGGCTACAATGACTAGATGTTCTGATTGTATAGGGACATCCTGATATGTGGGGGTTTTTCTTATATTGGTTGTGTAATGCCCCACCCCATCCTGATTCTTCATACTTACTGTCTGGTCACTCTAGATCAGACCACAATTACATGACGATCATAATAAGAATTAAAAGAACCTTCCACAACTTCCAGAAACAGTCTTCTCCTACTTGAAATAACACCAATATAGTAGCAACTCGGAGGTACTGTTTAAGCATACATGTGGAATTTCACCTTGAATTTTAATTTGAAATGAACTAGCAACACTCTGTGGAGCATGGAGTAAGTGCGCTCCATGCATGAACCACACTAAATACATTGACAGGCATATGTAGAATTATCTGAATTTTTCTGAATGATTTTTCTGAATTATTTTTCAAGGACAACCAATATTCCATGCATGTGTGGACTAATTTTTTGTGCTATGTGCAGACATGTACCACCAGTAGAAACACATGCTGCTGTGGGCGCTCTGCTCATCAACTGGATGGGTTTTGAATCTCTCCTGGGTGGCTGCCTAAGTATACAGCTTACTGGGAACACTGACTTAGGCAACCCCCTATAATGTGCATTGCCATATTCCAGCACAGAGATGTCAAGAGTATGAGCAAGGTCTACACGTGGGAGAAATACTCACACCCTCCTTGCCAAGCAAACATAGAAAAAGTACTATTGGCCATTGTATCTGTCTAGTCATCCAGTAGTAGGAGAACAGAGGAAAGAGTCATTAGACTGCAAATTTTATTGACAAAATCAGACGCATCTCTTCAATCAAAGCAGCAAAAGAATCTGCAGTTTCTTCCAGTTATTTCTCCAACCAGATGACCTATTCTTCCTGCCTTGCTAAATGGTCTTAATATGCAAGAGAGGGTCACACAGTGGAAGAGTCTGAGGAACTCCAAACTTTGAGCCATCTTTTCATGGTTTCCTTTTGATGCCTGTTAATTTTTCACTACCTCTCCTGAGATCATTTGATTTGAGCTCTATTTTATAATTTGTTTTTTTCTCTTGCTTTTCTTTAGGATTCCCCTCCCCTTCAGCTTGAAGAGCATTTTGATCGAAGACACCTGCACCTATTTCCAAGTCACTTCCACACTGGGCCTGACGCTCAAATGGAACTGGGCTGACACTCTCTTAGTATGAAGATCCAGTTAGTTGGTTTTCTTTCAGTGAATTTTAGTGTTGTTGAAAGGCCCTGCATGGCCAGTGGTTCTCTAACTGCAGGCTTAGTGGGTACTGCAGAGATTTGTATTCCCTGTGTCACAATTCACAGAATTAAAGAAAAGGGTAGAGAGGATTAAAAAAAAATGGAAAGTTGATCTTGTGGATAGAAGGCCAGTTTGGCATCCACATGGGAGAAGGTTCTCCAGTCACATGGCAATTCAAAATCTGATGTAGTCTGCTGTTTGCTCCAGCCAGCAAGATGTAGACATACTGTGAAGTTTTCCTTTCAAGCCAGTGGGAGTCACTATCAAGTGACTAGAAGCTCATTCTCACCAGGGTTCTAATGTCTAGATTCTGGAGCAGGAGAGGGCCAAAGGGCCTCCGCGGGCAGGATCCGGCCTGTCAAAAGAGTTGATCTGGCTTGGGGAGACCCTGCCGCTCCTTCCACCCCCAGGCCTAGCAGGGCTTGGGGATGGGGGAGTGTGTGAAGTCTCCTTCTGCCCTGATAGGGCCTCAGCACTAAAAGTCAACTGACAGCTGCTGTCCAGCTGGTGGTTGACTCTAAGCGTAGCACTCCCTTGCAGGGTGGGAGCAGGGAGTGAGAGACTTCACATGCTCCCCCTCGCCAGGCCCTGATAGTCCTGGGGGCAGCAAGAGAGAGCACACCAAGTCTCCTCCCACCGCCAGAGGCATGGCTACCTAGAGGGAACCACCAACTGTGTTCCTTCATCCCCAGACCAAACAGAGCCCGTACCTTCAGCCCAAGGTCCCGCCCGTTCCGGGATGGCCCAGGGCTAATTAAAAAATTTCTGAAGTGGCCCCTGGTCAAAAATGATTGCCCACCCCTACTCTGGGGCATCCTGTCTAGAGTAAGGCTATGGTGCCTATGGAGGGAGGGAAGAAGATGTCATGCCATAAGGTGATTGTATTATTTATCAAGCCGTGTAAGATGCTGCAATTAGTTATTTTTCTAGGCGAAATAGCAATTGTTAAGTATTTTCCCCTTTGAATTTGGCCTGTCTACTATGAAGTTCTATTATAAGTTTGCTACTGAAGAGTAATATTCCAAATTTGCTGCATATTTAAATTATTTACATCTTGTAATCATTTCATTTGTATTTTCAAGTTTACATACATATTTTAATCTGACCCCCCCCTTCTATGGTGAGATTCCCTTCCATCCTTTGTTTGACATAGTTGAGTTTATCAAAACAATTTCTAATTTGAGAAGGTTGGGTAAAGTACTCACAATTATTTTCTTGGCTTCCTGATCTTAATTCAACAGGGATATGTCTACACTATGTGGAAGATCGACATAGCTGCAGTCGATCTTCCAGGGTTTGATTCTAGACCCACTAAATTGAACTCAGAGGGCACCCCTATTGGCACCAGAACCCCTGCTCCTTATGAGGGGTGAGGGAAGCCAATGGGAGCGTTTCCCCCCGTCAGCCTCTCCCTTTGTGGATGGTGTGGAAAGTCAATTTAAGATACATGAACTCCAGTTACAAAATTAAAGGTAGCTGGAGTTGCATCTCTTAATTTGACCTTCTGCTGTAGTATAGACCAGGCCTAGGTGTTTTGTCAGCATTGTTTATGCTCAGTAATTCTCAAGATTTGTCCATCCTTTTTTTTCTAATTAAGCTGTAATTATATATGGTCAATTTTACAGTCCTTAGCTTTTTACTCAGATAACACTCTGATGAGATCAACAGGAATATTGCTAAATAAAACTGAGGTATAAATACTGCTGCCAATCACTCTGGTGTAAATCTATAGCAACTATGAATAGTCCACGTTTACATCATATGACTGAGAGCAGAGTATGCGCTTTCTAGTATGAACCTCAGGATTTGGGCTACAGCGTGCATGAGGAGAAAGGATTTGTTAAGACCAAACATATCTAATGAAGAGAGCAGCATTGTATATTAAACTGAATTGTCTCACTTTAAAGGCACTGCAGCAAATGGTGCACATTAAATAATAATGCTCTTAAGAAATACATAGACAAACTCTAAAGGAATGTGTCTCCTCATTTGTTTAGAATTTCCTTTCATTGAAACACATCAGTCAATGTTTTCATGTCAGAGAAGAAATTTTACACCTTTAGTAATTTTCCGTTCTGAAACACTCAAAACTCTGGTCTTCCTGTTTCTTTTTCTTTTGTAGCTGGACTTGGAAGATACATACAAGGGGAAAACATGTGGTCTGTGTGGGAACTACGATGGTGATGAGAAGAATGATTTGCATTTGAATGGTAGGAATTGGCTATTATATACTCCTTAGAGTTTTATGAAGCATGTCACAAAACTATTTTCATCTGGTTTGCTGAAAGATACTCTGGTGCATACTTTTTCATAGAACACTAGAACTGGATGGGACCTCGAGAGGTGATTGATTCCAGTCCCCTGCTCTCGCGGCAGGACCAAGCCTATCTAACCTGCTCTTAAATATCTCCAGAGATGGAGATCCCACCACCTCCCTAAGCAATTTATTCCAGTGTTTAACCACCCTGACAGCTAGGAAGTTTTTCCTAATGTCCAATCTAAACCTCCCTTGCTGCAGTTTAAGCCCATTGCTTACACAGTTTAAGCCCATTTTGACACATTAGGGTGAATTTTGAGACTCCTGAGCTGATTCATGAATCTCAGGGGTTTGCAAAACCTGAAAAGTTTCACACAAACCAGTAAACCAAAATTAAGTACAGAGATCCCATACTGTACCACTGTCCTATTTCCTTGAGAGCAGTATATTCCAAGATGGTGGAACTTTTATAGTTGAGGTGGGTAGATGTTCCCTCTGGGAACATTTTCATCCTCTTGCAGTTAGGTAACCACTGTGATTTTGCCTTTGTATATTGTTAAGAATCATCAGCAAGTGATCCATACTTGCTTGAAACTTCAGTGAGCTCAGGATAATGTTTACAAAAACCATAGTGCAGGGGTGTCCAAACTTTTTTCAAAGAGGGCCAGATTTGATGAAGTGAACATGCGTGAGGGCCGACCATTTTGCCTGACATTCTTTGAACCATTAAAATTAAATGCAAATTAACTATTTTATGCAAAGTTTATTGCAAATGGCATACTTTTCATTTCGTCACATGGATGACAAATCTAAACAGGTGTTAAATCACTCTGCCTTTCATATCTGAAGGCCAGATGAAAAAAAAAATCCAGGAAGCTGAAATATATGTCAGGAACATTGTAAAGTACATTACATATTATTGGTAATAAAGGTTGTCTGTCAACTTTTAAGTTCAAAAAATATGAACAGGAACATAACACCAAGTATACATGTTGTGTCCAAATATATTTATAACTGATTTAGACCAACTGACATTAACTGAGGTTTTACAATGTATTCATCTCAATACATATGGATTCGTTGGGGGCCATAAAAGATAGATATTGCCAAATTACCTGGGGGGCCGTATTAAACCGGAACACGGGCCGCAATTGGCCCCCGGGCCGGACTTTGGACATGCCTGCCATAGTGCAATGTACTGGCTGCTTCAGATATTCCACTGGGCTGGAAAGAAACCAGAGTAACCCTCAGTTCTAGCCCCCATGCTCCCTCTGCTTCTGAAAATGCAGAGAAGCCTGCTTCTCTGGATCCATGCTGAAGGAGAACAGCAAGGGGACTGTTCCCCTGCATCGTGCTCCCCTCATGATTTTCCTCAAGTTTGAGCTATGCTGGTGGAGTTCCCAGAAAGATTCTATTCCCTGCCAATCTCTCTGGGGAAAGCTGTCACCAGTTACCTCAAAAAGAGTCTTCATCAGCTGAAACTTCATGCCTCGTGGTTGCTCTGGGGCACTAAGTGAGTGGGGACGCTCCATGCACTGTAGCTCCTGCAACTACGCATGGGACTGAACATCACTGAAGAGGCCAGGGGCCTCCTTGTGGTTGCACCAGGATGCTTCCATTGGGTCCCACAGAAAGAATTGCAAAGGCAATGCTGAGATGAAACCGAGATTTACCATGACACAAAAGCCAGAGTGGCTGAGCCACAGACCTGGGGTCAGAGCACTGTCTTCCAAACCATTTTAAATGAGGAAATACAGAGTTATAACCAAACAACTGTTATACTTGAAATAATTTCACAATGTTGACAATGTAACATTATTCTGTTATATGCATATTCACATACCCTGTCTTGCCGTTGCTTAAAGTTACCAGTTTATTGCTCACATTAACTCACTGGCCAGGCGAGTTAAATGCAAGGGGTGAGGAGTGGGGGCTTCTCTTGGTCCAGATGGATGCTCCAATCTTGACAAGACCAGACCCAAAGATTTATGCAAAGCACCCTGTCTTTTATAGACTTTTCTCCCATTCAAGTCTATACACTTTGATTGTCAGATCTTAATCAATCACTACCAGTTCTGTTTAATATCTGTTTATTTAGAAATTGGTTTTCTTTGTCATCAGACATCAGTGTGTTGGTGCCTCCTTCGTAGTGTTATTCCAAGGCTGTCTTATCTGTTCATGGGTGCTAGCTCTTAACTCCAAAGTCGTCTATATGTCATGCACTGGTCTGCCTTATACTGGGCACAACTGATAGTACCTTGGCGCCCCTGAGCCTTCCAGCTTTTTCTCCTCCTTCTTTGACCATCTGGACTCTAAAACTGCTGAGCCTTCAAGTTGTTATCTTTCTCCAAACACATTCCAAACTCATTCACTCCTCCTCCCCAGGAACTACATAATTGTTTCACATGAGAAAAGGTTACAATTGCCTTATAATCAATCTAGTTATACAAAGCTTCTGCTAGTACAAACTTTTATTCATTCATCATATTTTCTTTATAATACAATTTGTATTCTAACTATTCCTAAAAGCAACAGTATGCTCATGCTGAATCACAGGAATCCTTCTGATCTCTTTCTGCTTTAACATCAGATACAGACACAAGCAGTCTGTTCGATGCATCGTTACCAATGGCCTAAAAGACTGTTCATCCCTGCTAACCTGAGAAGGGTCACAGCAGAGTTGTAGTTGTTTAACATTTATTCTAACACTACCCATTAAGCACATTACGGTACATAAATCATTACACAACTCTCTTGTCTACACAACATTCGTTTTAAAACGGATTCGGTCCCCGTGCTGCATGTTGACAAACATCAGCAGTGTTCAAAGCTTGGAGCAGCTGCAAACTTGTGCTGCTGATAGCTCCTGGGTATGTGAGAAAAGTGAGGCTTTCAACTGCCCTTAGCCCTTGCAAAGGGCAAACATGAAAGGAACACTACTTGTAGTGTTTACCACTCTTACTTAGCCCTACCAGGCTGGGAGAGGGAAATTTAGAATTCTGGGTAACAGTTTCAACAGCATGTAAATCTTATGTTTAGAATTGACTTAGGAACTTAATGACAAAAAATTTTCAAGTTGGCTAAGTGACTTCGGAACCTAAATGCCATTAATTTGCAATGGGTCTTAAACACCTGGGTCATTTAAGACCATTTTGAATTTCACCATAAGTCTTACTGCAAGTCAAAAGAATCTAGGCTCCTAAGTCACTTAGGTATTCTTGACCATTTTACCTTCTAATTCAAATAGGCACTTAAATGGTTGAAACCCCTTCAGGATGGATGCTCTCTAAATGAAAGGGTTAAAAGTCAAACAGACACTCCAAATAAAAGTGTTGCAGCTTTCAGGATCCTAATTCAGTAGGAACTATGGGTATGTCTACACTACCCCGCTAGTTCGAACTAGCGGGGTAAGGTAGGCATACTGCACTTGCAAATGAAGCCCGGGATTTGAATTTCCTGGGCTTCATTTGCATAAGCGGGCCGCCGCCATTTTTAAAACCCCGCTGGTTCGAACCCCATGCAGCGCGGCTACACGCGGCACGAACTAGGTAGTTCGAACTAGGCTTCCTAGTTCGAACTACCGTTACTCCTCGTGGAATGAGGCGTAACGGTAGTTCGAACTAGGAAGCCTAGTTCGAACTACCTAGTTCGTGCCGCGTGTAGCCGCGCTGCACGGGGTTCGACCCAGCGGGGTTTTAAAAATGGCGGCGGCCCGCTTATGCAAATGAAGCCCAGGAAATTCAAATCCCGGGCTTCATTTGCAAGTGCGGTATGCCTACATTACTCTCCTAGTTCGAACTAGGAGGGTAGTGTAGACATACCCTATGTGAGTCTGTCAGTCACTATATTTTAGGTACCTACGTTATATTAAATAATTTGTGTAAAGAACATATTGCCTTAGAGCACAATTAAGAAACTGAGTTGGACATTTGCTCTGCATCTGATTGGTATTCTGGATGAATTTGGGAATTTTTCCAGGTTATAAACTACTCCCGAGGCAATTTGGAAACCTTCACAAAGTAGAGGAGCCTACAGAAAAGTGCCCTGATGTAGCTGAAGATGAAGATGCCAAAAGCTATATAGGTCACTCTCATCAACAAAAAAATAAATGTAGCAAATATGTAAGTACACCTGGCCAGTAGCACAGTGAGTATGAACCTCCCTGAATTACAATGGACTACAATTCCAGAGATTATGTTGATGAAAATATTATATAAACAGTGTTCAAAGAATTTGAATTCTTCAGGAATCCAGCCATGAATCAAAGCCCAAAATGAACCTGTAGTTGTAGGAATCTGCTATTATAATGTTACAAAGGTATATAGCAGAAACCCCCGGGGCGGGGGCGGATTTACAACCTTCAGTCCAGGAAGAGCAGCAAATAAACTTATCAAATGTCTGGCAGGTCTTTTCTGTTGGCTTAGTGAATTTGGGACAGATTCTCAGTTGGTGTAAATCAGCATAGCTCCAGAAAGTTCACTGAAGTTAGATGATCTGATGGTCCCTTCTGGCCTTAAATTCTCAGGGCACTTCTTCACTCACCACACCAGAGATCGATGTTATGGCATTTGATTGAATATGTCTAGTATAGACTTATAAATCAAATGTTGGGGGCAGCTCCAGCTGGCTCCTTACAGTCACCTCACAGTCAAGAGGAGTAAGGGAAGCCAATGGGAGCATTTGCTTCTGGCAGCCTCCCACTGTGTGGATGCCACCAAGCTTGGCTTAAGGTAAGCTGAATCCAGCTACGTATTTTACTTAGCTGGAGTTGTGTATCTTAAGCTGACTTTCCAGGTCTAGTGTGGACCTGGCCTCAGACTTTGGAAGTCAATGGAGCTATGCCCATATATATTGGCTGAGGACTAAGACAAGATGTGGATAATTCTTTTTTTTTTCATTACAGAAATCAAAATGCAAGCAACTTCTGTCCCGCCTTGGGAACTGTCCCAAGGTGGTTGCTTTTGATGACTATGTAGCCACCTGTACGGAAGACATGTGCCTCTGTGCAAAAAATTCATCTGATTTGTCTTTGGCTTCCAGCTGCATATGCAGTACCCTTAGTCAGTATTCTCGAGATTGTGTCCTGAACGGGGGAATCCCTGGGAAATGGAGAACCAAAGAGCTTTGCTGTAAGTAGCTATGGATTTTAATTCAGTAATCAATGTGATTTGCATCTCAGATTAATTTAGATACCTTTATGGGTATGTCTACACTATGGGATAATGTCAAATCAAGTGCAACTTCAGCTATGTTAATTGCGTAGCTGAAGTCGAAGTAGCTTAACTCGGCTCTTGGCGCTGTCCAGACTGCAGGAAGTCGGAGGAAGAACACACTTCCTTTTGCTTCCTTTACTTGTCATGAGAGCAGGACTACCGGCATCGACTGGAGTGCTACTCTCACTTCGATTTAGCTGTCTTAACCAGACCGCTAATTCGAACTCTGAAAGGTTGACAGCAGCAGCTTCGATCTTCCTATGTAGTGTTCACATACCCCATGCAGATAGTTATCAGACACGCTTAGAAGCTTGGATTAAATACCTCCATTATTAACCTTAATTTAACTAGTTCCTTTCCTGGAATAATCATTCTAAACAGAGAATTTTATGAAAACACATCACTTTGGAAGTGCTTATAAAACACTTTAAAAGGAACCCTGTACTTCCCTTCACTAACAAATACTGCTAGGCTACGTCTAGACTGGCATGATTTTCCGGAAATGCTTTTAACGGAAAAGTTTTCCGTTAAAAGCATTTTCAGAAAAGAGTGTCTAGATTGGCACGGACACGTTTCCGCAAAAGCACTTTTTGCGGAAACGTGTCCGTGCCAATCTAGACACTCTTTTCTGAAAATGCTTTTAACGGAAAACTTTTCCGTTAAAAGCATTTCCGGAAAATCATGCCAGTCTAGACGTAGCCTAGCAGTATTTGTTAGTGAAGGGAAGTACAGGGTTCCTTTTAAAGTGTTTTATAAGCACTTCCAAAGTGATGTGTTTTCATAAAATTCTCTGTTTAGAATGATTATTCCAGGAAAGGAACTAGTTAAATTAAGGTTAATAATGGAGGTATTTAATCCAAGCTTCTAAGCGTGTCTGATAACTATCTGCATGACAGAGCATGGTACAACAATCACTACTTAAGTTTAACAGTAAGTAAACATTGAAGCCTTAGTGTAAATAGAGTTATAGTCTATAATGCCTGGCAGCTTAAAAGGTTCCTTCTCTGACTACGAAGTGTTGTCTTGTAAAACCAAACTAAATCAACCAGTTTCTAAAGTGGATAAAATTACTCTAATGCTCTGGACAGAATGTTTTATAGCTAAGAAGGTTAGTTTCCTTTGGAAAATGATAAACTGAATTTAGAGCATTGATTGAGTACATTACTCTCTGCAACTGTTTCATTTGGGTTTGCAGTCCAGGAATGTCCAAACAACCTGGAATATACGGAATGTGGAAACCCCTGTGCTGACACATGCGCCAACCCAGAGAGGAGCAAGATTTGTAAAGCCCCGTGTACAGATGGTTGCTTCTGTCCTGCTGGTAAAGTAGCATCCTTCTTATATCTCTTCCAGGGAGACACCTCCCAGTGTTCAGTGAAAGGCGTTCTTGTTTATTAAAATGTGAACACCCTTAAATAAAACTGTAGATAGCATTTGGATGTTTGGAAAACTGGCAAGTGGACATAGTTTGTGTCTTACACATTTGTGTAGATTGTCCAGGACAGTCACAGAATATCCAGTATTGACCATGACTCGGGAGCAATTCCTGTTTCCTGTTTCTTACAGCATAAGAACTGATTCATGTAAGTGAAGCAAAATGCAGGACAATGTAGCACTTTAAAGACTAACAAGATGGTTTATTAGATGATGAGCTTTCGTGGGCCAGACCCACTTCCTCAGATCAAATAGTGGAAGAAAGTAGTCACAACCATATATACCAAAGGATACAATTTAAAAAAATGAACAAATATGAAAAGGACAAATCACATTGCAGAACAGAAGGAGGATGCGGGGGGGTGGGAAGGGGGAGGAAGGAAGGTAAGTGTCTGTGAATTGATGATATTAGAGGTAGGGAGAGTGGGATGTTTGTGAGTTAATGGTATTAGAGGTGATAATTGGGAAAGCTATCTTGATAATGTGTAAGATAGTTCAAGTGTTTGTTCAATCCTCTTTGGAGAGTGTCGAATTTTAACATGAATGACAGTTCAGAGGATTCCCTTTCAAGTGCAGATGTAAAAGGTCTTTGTAGCAGAATGGGTAGTTGAGGTTTATAAATGCTTGGTAGAGATCCTGAAGCTTCTGGTCTCTGTCAGTGGGATTAGAGCAGATGCGGTTGTATCAAAGGGCTTGGCTATAGACGATGGATCGTGTGGTGTGTTCTGGATGGGAGCTGGAAGCATGTAGGTAACTGTATGAGTCGGTGGGTTTTCTGTAGAGAGTGGTGTCTAATTTTCCATTGTTGATTTGTACTGTGGTGTCCAGGAAGTGGATCTCTCATATAGAATGGTCCAGGCTGAGGTTGATGGTGGGGTGTAGGTTGTTGAAATCTCTGTGGAATATCTCTGTGGAATATCTGCTCTAATCCCACTACCCACCCGGAGAAATAAAAAAGCAAATTGAAAGAGCTGTACGCTTGTGTGACCACTCAGGAGAAATTCAAATGCCACCCAGCTAGCAGAGTGCTCACAGCTAGGTTTTGTGTTTCTCTTGGTGGTGCATATTTGCATATGCCTTGGTGTACATGCAAAATTTATTCTGCACGTGGATGGAAAATTTTAGAGGGAACATTGATGGAGGCTTGATCATAATCTTGCATTTGTCCTTTACAATAATGCCACACACTATGTCACTTTTCAGCAATGTGACAGTTCACAGCCCCTTGGAATCAGAAGATCACATTGCAATTAAAACCATTTGCACTTGATATTAGCCATGGTGAGACATGCCTCTTATCACCTAACAGATGAACTTTCAGAATACTGCAGGCAATGGGCAAAATGACATGCAATTTTCCTCTAAAACATATAATTCACTCCTAGCCAGACGTGCAGAAGTGTCCAAGTATGATGTACTGTGTTTGCTCCTTTTCTTTTCTGAACTTTCTTCAGTTTCTTTCCTCTAATATTAATTAACCAGTGTTTCTGAACAGGGACTATTCTTGATGACATGAATGGCAACAAATGCATCCCCAACGACAGCTGTCCATGCATGTTTCAAGGCAAAATCTATGCAATCGGAGGCGCCTACTCCACTCCTTCTCAAAACTGGTATGATTACAACCTTAACTATATTAACATAGCAGATGCTTTTATTAGTAAGCTTGATGAGTTAAATGTCATTTTCTCTGCACCCTGGTCCTAATTATTTGTCTTAACTAAAGATAGGACTGACACAAACGCTGGCATCTGACCATCAGCACACTTCAGGCTCCTAAGTTTCAGAGGGTATGTCTACACTACAGAGCTAATTCGAACTAACTTAGTTCGAATTAGTTAATTCGAACTAAGCTAATTCAAATTAGCGCATCTAGACCTAAAAACTAGTTCAAATTAGCATTTTGCTAATTCGAACTAGCATGTCCACATTGAGTGGACTCTGAACAGAGGTTAAGGCTGGCCGGAAGCAGTGCCGGCAGGGCATCAGAGTAGGACTTAGAGCGTGGAGCTGCTGTCTCAGGCAAGCCAAGGGCTGTGCTTAAAGGGACCCGACCCCCACCCCGGACAGACAGTTCTCAGGGGTGCCCCACTTGCAAAGCAGTCCTGGCTTGGAATGCCCTGAGTGCCCACACTCGGAACATCATAGCACTCAGCCATCAGACTGGCTGCACTTGCCGCAGGCTGCCATCCGGGGGGAGGGGACAATCGGGGGGCTGAAGGAGAACTTCCACCCCGAGCCAGCCCAGTCCTCCCCATCGGGGGCTTGTACCCCATTCCTCCATCACCTCCTTCCACTTATCCCTCCCTAGCCCCCCCTTCCTGATGTACAAAATAAAGGACACGTGTGTTCAAAAATAGAATCTCTCTTTATTGAACAAAACTGGGGGAGACTGGGAAAAGGAGGTGGGAGAGGGGAAGAGAGAGGCTGGGAGAGGGGAGGGCAACTAAAATGATCAGGGGTTGGGAACAGGTCCCATATGAAGAGAGGCTAAAGAGACTGGGACTTTTCAGCTTAGAGAAGAGGAGACGGAGGGGGGACAGGATAGAGGTCTCTAAAAGCAGGAGTTGGGTAGAGAGGGTGCATACATAAAAGTTCTCCATTAGTTCCCATAATAGAAGGACTAGAGGACCCCAAAGGAAAGGAATGGGTAGCAGGCTTCAAACTAATAACAGAAAGTTCTTCTTCACGAGCAAATAGTCAACCTGTGGAACTCCTTGCTGCAGGAGGCTGTGAAGACTAGAACTAGAACAGAGTTTAAAGGGAAGTGAGATCAAGTCATGGAGGTTGGGTCCATGGAGTGGTAT